CACACACGACAACACCACAGACTTTCAGGAATATACAGAAACTGTCACTGCCTACATCCCAAAATGCATCGATGATGTCACAGAGACCAGGAATATCACTGTCCGGGCCAATCAGAAACCATGGCTCACAGGTCAGGTTTAAATGCTCCTAAAGTTGAAAAATGCAAGCCTTCAGAGCCGGGAATTAGGTGAGTCTAAGAACAGCAAGGGCAAACCTGTCACGTGGCATCAGCTACAGCAAAGCTTCAGCGACAGCAGAGATACTTGGAGGCAGTGGCAAGGAATACAAACCATCACAGACTACAAGCCCACTCTACAGACCGTGGTGACACAATCCCCAGACAGTGTGTGGAGATCCCTCCACCATCATTACTGTACCCAAGAAGTCATCTATCTCCTGCTTTAAGGACTACCGTCCTGTCAAACTCACCTCCATCATTATTAAGTTAAGTGCTTTGAACGGTTAGTCATGCATCAAATCAAATTATTGCTTTTCCCCAACCTGGATCCATTTCAGTTCACATACCGGTCAAAACGCTCAGCCGATGATGGAATTTCAACTGCCCCTCACTCAGCCCTCACACATCTGAACACTAGAGACTCATATGTCAGAGTGCCTTTCATAGACTTCAGTTCAGCATTCAACACCATCATTCCCCAGCAACTCATTCACAAACTGGATCTGCTGGGGATCAGCACCTTGCTGTATAACGGGCTGCTAGATTTCTTGACAGGAAGACAGCAGACAGTACGGGTCGACAGCAACACCTCCAGCCCAAGAACACGGAATACGGGGGCTCCCCAAGGATGTGTGTTGAGCTCCCTTCTCTTCACTCTGCTGACCCACGACGAGATCTACTACAGGGGTGAAGTTAACCATCTGCCAGAGTGGTACAGCAACAACAACCTGTCCCTGAATGTGGAGAAGACCACGACTCTACTTCCTCTGCAAACTGAGAAGCACAAGAGATTCAACCCCCATTATGAGCACCTTTTACAGAGGCACAGTTGAGAGTATCCTCACCAGCTGCATCACTGGTGTGGTATGACTCCTGCATTGGGTTCTGCAGGAAAAAATGACAACGGGTAGTGAGAGCAGCAGAGAGCATTGTGGGGACCTCTCTTGCCTCCCTCCCAGGAGATCTACTGCACCTGCCTCATCTGGAAGGTCCTCTCCATTACAGGTGACTCCACTCATCCCTTCAACAGCGTCTTCAGTTTGCTGCCATCAGGAAGGATACTGAAGAGCCTCCGGGCCAGAACCAGCAGACTGAGAGACAGCTTCGTCCATCGGGCTGTCAGGATGCTGACCATCTCTGGATCGAGAAGGGGGGCCCAAGGGTACATCTTTCGCCATCCTACAATGCTGTGATTGTAGCCATTCCCCACTTTCTGTGAATGGTACTCATGGCCATTGATCAGTAGGCTTTGATTAGTTGTCATTGATCAATGGTCATAAGAATTTGCATACTAACAATCATGGAATTAACCCCCCGGCACATTGTTCATTCAGTGGCGCTAGTTTCCTTCACTATGCAAATGTACTGTTTATATGGTTGGGGAAACCTGCAGTCAGCTGAGACTGAAGAAGTCACTTGGATGATGACGAAACGTTTCTCCAACTGAAAATGTCCAGATGAACAGAATCAACCTTTGGGATTTACTTACCTGGATGATTAAGCACGCATCAAGACGTTATTTTATTAAACATTTTAAAATGTTAGCAGCACAAACAAACATTTTTGCAGCACAAACCAGCACAAACGTTTGACATCCATTTTGTTTGATTCCATTAATATGGGGGGGCTGGTTGACCTCTAGAAATTTTTGTTAATATCTTTAAAATAATAACGGCACAAACAAAAATTTCTGCAGCACAAACCAGCACAAACGTAGCACAAACGTTTGATACCACTTTTGTTGGATTTGGGTAATGTGGGGGGGCTGGTTGACCTTTTGACCTTTACATTTTCATTAATATCTTTAAAACAGAAGCAGCACAAACGAAAATTTTAGCAGCACAAACCAGCACAAACGTAGCACAGTTGATTGACACCCATTTTGTTTGATTTAATTAATGTGGGGGGGCTGGTTGACCTCTGATGACCTCTAGAAATTGTTATTAATATCTTTAAAATGATAGCAGCACAAACGAAAATCTTTGCAGCACAAACGTAGCACGAACGTTTGATACCACTTTTGTTGGATTTGGGTAATGTGGGGGGGCTGGTTGACCTTTACATTTTCATTAATATCTTTAAAACAGAAGCAGCACAAACGCTAATTTTACCTGCACAAACCAGCACAAACGTAGCACTAAAAAAGTAGACCATTTTGGTTTGTTTTGGAGCAGTCTGGGGGGATGGTGATGTCATCAGCAAAAAATATAACTTTTAATATCTCAGATACTGTAGCAGCACAAACGCTAATTTTACCTGCACAAATCTGCACAAACGTAGCACTAACCGCTCCGCCTATTTGCCTTTACGTTTCAAGTGGGTGGGGGAGAGGGCGGGGCGGGGCGGGGCTGGAGGGAGCAGCGTCTAATAACCAACATCGCAAAATAAAAACAAAACAACAAACACGAAAACAGCAGACATCATGATGCAGACTTATAATTTGCACCCATGTTGTTGGGTTTTCTTCGAAATTCTATACGCGAAAAGTGAGCGCGAGAGCCCTCAGTGCGCATGCTCGCTGCTGAAGTCAAAGTAAACTTTATTGCTACATACAGTCCAGCATATAGAGAGACGAGACGACGAGGCTCCAGTTACAGCAGTGCAAGCAAACAAACAATAAATATAAGAAGAGTAAGAAAATAAATATGCACTTTAGGACTCGGGGCAAAGGATCAATAACAATTTATAATTTATATTTTGATGATTTAATGTCTCACACACAACCCGTGGAAAGGGGAGGGGCCGGCTGCTTCCAAATAGAGCACATTTCATTCATAATGTTGTGAATCCAAGCCCATCATTCATTCATGCAGAGGGAGTCTTCGCCCAGGGCGCCGAACAGGCTAGGACCGCCACACAAACTGGTTCATCTCAAAGACAAACTTAACAATGTGCTGTACAGTGTGGCTCGGACTCTACATTGGACCAAACAGCCACTTCACAAGTGCATAGCACAACAGAAGAGTCACCTCCAAGACTCGGCTGTTCATCGGCATCTGAAGGTCAAAGGTCACTCTTTCAAGGATGCCGATGTTCACATTTTGGACAGAGAGGACAGATGATTGGAAAGAGGAGTGAAAGAAGCATCTGTGTCCACTGTGAATGACCATCTTTGAACAGAGGGCGGGGCTTATGACAACAACTGTCTGCCATCTATAATCCAGTTTTGAGATCAACAGATACTCAACATTTGATTGTTCAGCATGTCGGCAGCCTACGTCTATTGCAGCATAACTAAGGGAGGATTCAGGGTCACCTGGTCCAGCCCTAACTATATGCTTTAGCAAAAAGGAAAGTTTGAAGCCTAATCTTGAAAGTAGAGATAGTGTCTGTCTCCTGGATCCAAACTGGAAGCTGGTTCCACAGAAGAGGGGCCTGAAAACTGAAGGCTCTGCCTCCCATTCTACTTTTAAATACTCTAGGAACAACAAGTAGGCCTGCAGAGCGAGAGCGGAGCGCTCTAATAGGATGATATGGTACTACAAGGTCATTAAGATAAGGTGGGGCCTGATTATTTAAGACCTTTGTAGCTGTCGCATTGAAATGTAATTATTATGTGATTGCAATGTTCAAAATTTGGTGTTTAATCTGGATTCATGTTGTGTTGTTGCCACCTACTGGTGGGCCTGAGTGTGGCACTTTGTGGTGCGCATGCTTTGGGGTGATGCTCAATTAAGTGCACATGTCACCAGAAACTGAAGGCTCGAGCCAGAAAGAGAATGCTGGCTTGTGTAAAAGGTGGAAATATAGAAGATATGGACTACAATTGCTCATGAATGTTCAGTAGAAAGGTGCACACGGTATGTTGGTGCATTTACTTTGTGTGTATCTTTTATTTGAGTTGTAATTTTTGTTCTGCTGATGTAATATCCGTGTTTTTATTGATCATTTCACCATAGTTTTTCACGGTGTTTGCTGGTGAAAAGAAGATTAAAATACTGGCTGAACATCAGTTGGCCCTTTATTCTACTTCGAACATGAAAAACCTTCAGGAGCAGTTACAACCTTGTATGTGAGGAGCAGGATTTTGAATTCTGGATTTAACAGGAAGCCAAAACAGGAGAAATATGCTCTCTCTTTCTAGATCCTCTCAGGACTCTTGCGGCAGCATTTTGGATCAGCTGAAGACTTTTCAGGGAGTTTTTAGGACATCCTGATAATAATGAATTACAGTCGTCCAGCCTGGAAGTAATAAATGCATGAACTAGTTTTTCAGCGTCACTCTGAGACAGGATATTTCTAATTTTAGAGATGTTGCACAAATGGAAGAACGCAGTCTTACATATTTGTTTAATATGTGCATTGAAGGACATGTCCTGCTCAAAAATGACTCCAAGGTTCCTCACAGTGTTACTGGAGGCCAAGGTAATGCCATCCAGAGTAAGAATCTGCTTAGATACCATATTTCTAAGCTTTTCAGGGCCGAGTACAATAACCTCAGTTTGATCTGAATTAAGAAGCAGAAAGTTAGCGGCCATCCAGGTCTTTATGTCTTTAAGACATTCCTGCAGTTTAACTCATTGGTGTGTGTTATCTGGCTTCATAGATAGATATTGATCTGATCTTCTCCACCTGCTCGCCTCACTCAGACTCGGAGCCTTTAGACGTTCTGCCCGAGACTTTGGACGCACTTCCACCAGATCTCCGGACTACAACCCAAAGACTACAGATGGACAGGCTAACCATTTTAGACCAACTACACCTCCGCAGTCATTTACAATCCAAATGTTTCACTCACACACACACACACACACACACACACACACACACCTCGCTGTCCTCTTCCACATCCTCCCAGGCAAACATAAACCGAGCCACATGTGATTCAGTAAATAAAATTTATTTTCATTCTTCACACACAAATTCCTCATACAGTGAAAATAAAAGAGGCCGCTCTCTCGGCCATTTGACACCAACGCAGATGGTGTCAAAAGTCCCCTCAGTTCATACAGCTTCATAAATATCAAGGTTCGGCCAGGATGTGTGGTCTGGAATGGGTGAGGTGGCTCATTTCCTCTGGATCTGAGTAAAAGATGAGGGCAACTGGAGCGGCTGGATGGGTTTCTTACGGAAGTCCGGGGAGACTCTCTGTTGCGTGGTAGGCAGCAGCTGGTTGCGTTTGATGATCTGCAGAGCCAGCTGAGTGTTTCCTGAGGACCAAACATAACATTCAAGGATCAGGTTTAAAATGCCCTCACAAACACAACAGCTCAGCCTGTTTCCACTGTTTGCAAAGCCAATACGACGCTTTGATATGTGGAATACGAGTGTGACAAACCAACCCAACCAAAACAGGGCGTCAGGCGAAAAACACGTTACAACAGGTGTAACTGGTGACGCAGCAGCTCACTGACCATTCTGCAGCTCCAGGTACACTCCCAGCAGGATGGCTTCAGGCGGGATCTCCTTGCTGTTCATCATCGACGCAGCCTGATGGTGACAGCACAAATTAAATTATTACTGAACTGTCGGGACGCTCACTGCTTTAAGCTTCCTGATGGGTTACACACATAATTACAGATTTAAAGAAACGGGGCGAATCAGATGCTTTTGAACAGTAACAGTTTCCAAAATGAATTTTAAAAAGGCTTTAATACATTTGTCGAGCATAAAATGCAGCAAAAACAATCAGCAACCAGTTTGATCAACATCGTCACTGAAATGTGATCGTCCCAGATTCTTCAACGTTTATTAGTTTCTCTTTTCTCCCCATAAAAACATTTCTTCGAACCACTGCAACAATGAAGTAACATGTCTAATGCCAGAGTAACTAGATTTTGATTGGCCAGTCCTGGACATGAGTTGCATAAAGTTGCCATGGTTACCTGAGTCAGGCACTTGCGGGCCTTGTCGTACTCACTCCTTAAACAATAGGCACTGCCCAGGTTAAAGAGCATCATAGCTCGAGCTGATGTCACACTGCTGGGATAACACAGTGGAGTCTGCTTCCCTGCTGCAACACATGCGCGTACGTACACGCGCGCACACACACACGCACGCACACACACACGCACGCACGCACGCACGCACACACACACACGCACGCACGCACACGCACACGCGCACACACACACACACACGTTATTTTCCTGCTGCAATGTTATGCTGTATATAAGATTTTGGAATCAAAAGCAAACACGTTGCTTAAAAACAAACTCACAGGACTCAACAGGCTCATCTCCTTTGTCGGACCCTGCTGACAGAGAGGAAATTATTCAGTGAAAACAAGACTGCAGCAAAAGTTTAGGCGAGGAATGATTTCAGCCCACGCACCCTGGTCTTGTTCGTTCATCAACATGCCCACTGACACATCACTGACGTTCTCTGGATTAAGGTGAGCGATAGCGTCGGAAATCCTGTCCAATGAGATGAGGGCTTCGGCAGCATAGAGGTGACCGAGGAACCTGAACAGAAAAGGTCCAAACAGAGAACAGTTAACTCACTCAAGTACATGAAGACCCTGATCGTACAATGACAGGACTCTTTTCTGTGTCCTTCTTTCTCAGACTTGATATCCTTTTTACAGACTTTCTGATTTTTAAAATCACTTCACAAGGATCCTGTAAGCTTCTCCCCACCTGTAACCACTTACTTGAGCGATCCGGACAGCTTAGTTTGATGGAGCAGCTTCTCGGCGTGGTTTAGGGCTATCAGGTTGTCTCCCAGCGCCAACGCTACATAACTGCTGCAGGCCAGGATGGAGCACCTACTCACACAGCGAGAATCAACGAGTGGCATTTTGGTCCTAATGACATGAACCGTCAGGACGTGTAAATGAGCAGAGAATACGGAAAGCATCATTACCTGAGGTTTTCTACCTCCTGTTTTCTAAGAGGAGAAGATGGAGCAGCGGACAAAAATTTATCAGCATCCTGACCTTTTCCACTGCAAAGAAACACAGACCCTCCATCAGAGCACATATCAGCTCTGACAGTTTAATGTGACCGAATCACAGGCCACCACAATTCAGCCATCACCGTTTCTCAGTCCTGCATCAGAAAACATTCTGAGATGAAGGTCTCCTTGCAACTCCACCCTTCAGTCCAGATCCTCTTCCCTGTAATGGAGTGACTTCCAGATCTCTTCCTGGTGGGTTGGATCAACTGGTCAGTTTCACTGACTCCCGGTGTTTAGCTTCACTCCTGGATCTACAGCTGTGTCTGCTCTTTGTGGTGAGATGGCTGGACACACCGTGTGCACGAGTGTGGCACTGAGTTACAGGCTTTCTTGCAGTCAACCCAGGCAGTGGTCAGGCCGCCCTGTCTGGTGTGCACGCTTCTTGACCAGCAGCTGATATTTTGACCCCATTTCGACGTTCAGAATGACGAGCTGTGTTTGCAGTTTGTGTTCATGACTCTATGATGACTGAGTGGATCCAACTTGTCATGCAGAGGAAGGTAATGTTCCAATAGCTGAAGGCGTCACTGTAAGGATGTTGTTGCTGTTAGGCCAGTCTGGGTGTAACCAGGCATCCACAGTGTGCTGTTAGCTGCGGCTCGTCTTTGTGGCATCATTTCATTGAAGCTGCAAGCACAGCCTGAGTGGATCTTGGGAGAATATGTAATTTTTTCTGTGACCTTGTTGCCAGAGAGATATGAACCATAATGTAGTAGTTTTAGAGCCTCAGTTTATGTAAACATCTCCCATCTCTATACATCATTTTGCACTGGGTAGCATTGGGAATCTAACCTGATGATCCTTAATATCGGATGCTACATGACTTTATGCATAGCAAAAAAGAAATCCAGAAAATGCATTTTAAAGATTATGTACGATATTAATAAGATCTATTCTTTGTTTTTCCATCATAGTTATATAATGCACGAAAGTACCAGACTTAATGAGTGTATATTTCTTGACATTATGACGGATATTAAGGACTCTAAGTTGTAGTCCTCCTCAGTATGCAGCAGAGAGTGTGCATTTTAAATTCAGCAGTAAATACAAATTTACACACAGATTGTGTGACTTTGTACAGTTTTTGAACATAATCACTGGAGAGATGTGTTGGGAATACAGAACAAACAGGAACACTTTATGGAAAAACAGAAATATAGTTTGGAACCAGCGAGTTAAGAAGGCATCACTGTCTTTCTGTAACAGGTGGGTGGGGTGGACAGACGTGTCTGACCTGCAGGCGTCGCTGTTCTCGCTGCCACTCTCGGTGCTTCCTGACTGACTCGAGTTCTTGGAGCTGTTCTCTGTCTTGAGTTCTTGCTGCTGGTGTTCAGGCAGCAGCAGCAGCGCATTCCTCAGGCAGATAGCTGCAAACTCCATACTGGCCACTGGAATAGCTGCTGATTGGCCCTCACTATACAAAGACAAACACTATGAGGTCAGTCTACCTCACATTAAACTACAGTAAGATTAAATATCAATTGGATGTTAAAATGTACACATGGACAACCTGTTAAATATGATAACTTCATGACATGATAGTGGAAACACAATAACCAGCAACTGATGTAACGTATGTTACTCTGTAATCATTGTATGTAGGCTGAGATGCTTTAAAACAAAACAAAAAACAGCTTTTGCTAACCACTTCCTGTTTCATACTGTGGACCCCGATAGTTTAAACCAAACTGGCAGAACTCTGTTATCGAGGAGTCATGTGTGTAATTTATTGGCTCCGTGTGGATTTATGGGTAGTGAGCACTGACCTGTACGTGGTGTTCTGCATGGACTGGGACGCCAGGATGATCTTGCGATGGTAGCCCTGGCCAACAACAGACTGAACGATACCTTTTTTACAAGGCAAACCTTTGCTTTCCTGCTCTGAACCCTTGAAATTGGAAAATAAAGATGATATAATTTTAGATTTTACCCCCATAAATCCATTCAAAGATGCAAAAAACAAACAAACATTTGACTAAAGTAGTGTGGCTGAAATATTTTGTCCATGGTAGAATAAGTTAGAAAGGAAAACCATTACAGGAGGACGGCCTTATGTATCCTTGAGCCACCAGATAGGCATCAAAAATAATAAAGGAGAAAATATGTGCACATGTGAGAGCAGTTTGATCTGATCTCCATCAGAGATGAACCCAACCACGGTGTCATCAGCATACTTGATGATAACATTGATTGGGTTGGTGTGTGGGGGGGCTTTGCTGCGGACCAGTAACCAGGAAGTATTATTAAACCATACTGTAGCCAGTGGTACCCTTGGCTTCCTGGCTTCCTACTAGATACACGTACGGTATCAATTTGAAAATTTGACGTCACTTTGTTCTCAAGATATGAACTCCAAGGTTTTCAATGGGTGCACCTATGGCATGAATTTCAACTGTTCTTCTTGGGTTATCACATTCACAAGATTTTGAGAACACTTGACCTTTGACCTTGAAGTCAAGGTCAGAGATTTAAGCTTGTCCAAGACTTTTTGCATTCACAAACTTGGGTGACATTACTGCCGGCCTAGCAGGGTGACAACAACATCCCGTTAGCCTTTTACGGCTGAGGGGTAAAAATGACAAAGAATAAACAGGTAAAAAGGAAAGGTCACCATTGAAATGCTCAAAAACATCCACATCTTACAAACATACCCCTTTGTTAGCAGAGATGCAGCACTCGGCAAGCCGCAGCCACAGCCGAGGGTTGAAGTGGTAAACCTGCACCGCCTCCATCAGACATTCAAATGCTGCCAGAGGTCTGCCAATATGCAGTAGCTGAATACCGCAGTTATACAACAGCTCGTAGCGTTTGTTGGCTAGTAAAGCGCACATCGGGATACCTGTGAATTTTTTAGCTGAAAACAAAAGAAAAGGACTTTTTGTTACTGAGGAACACATAACTTACACCTGTGTGTAAAAACACAAAATACATACCAATATAAAACATTTCTATTGTGTCAAAGCTGAACAAGTCCAACACAAGACAAGAACAACCAAAAGGGGATAAAAACAAATTACTTCTGTGAATTTTAAATCCTACATCATCTTGTTCTTGAGTCATTGCACTCATGAACATGCGTGTCCACGCCCCCCACCCAACTTCCTGGGCGAAGGCAATAACCCATCAGCCTTTACAGCTGAGGCGTAACAACAAAGATCAGCAGGGTGACAGACACTGAAAAAATGATAACTATATCAACCACTCACAAGGCTCAGGGTGGAAATGCACAGATTCAAACTGACATACTTGGGAGTAAATTTGCCGCCAGACTTCTCCGAATTAAAATCTAGAAATAACGGTCCTTTAATTATTGTGGCCCGTATGTCTTCCCCACTTCTCTCTCTGCCCCCACTTTCCTGTCGTTTCTTTACTGAATCTATCAAATAAAGCTGAAAAAGCCCCCCCAAAACATTTAAAGTTGTACATAGCACTGGAAAATTTGAAAGCGAGCAGTGAAGCACACATAAATGAGAAAAAGCGGCTGCAGGGAGGTTATCGATTCAGGTTTGAGTTTGAGCCAATCGTTATCACGTCTTCCAGGAATGTCTCTAAATTGTTCCGTACTGGCAGGAGTTGAAGAATTGCATAGAAAGGTTTTAAAAGTATTGTTTTTACATTCAACTTCCTTTACATGGGAACAAACACGTACAAAGTTGATATGTTTAGGATCATGTTAGTCACTAGTAAAAAATCCATTACTAGGGATTGGCTGAAGACAGAGGCCCGTAAGCAGCAAGTTTGGACTGAAGTGATGCATAATGTTTATGATGGGAATGGTGACCTTCACTGGCAGACTAGAGTTGGGCAAATGTAAGTTTTTCTGGAAAAACTGGGTGGACAGATTTGGTAGAGTAATAGTTTCTGGTTCTGTGAAACCCTCAGTTTAGTGCGACAGACTGTATGTAGTTGGTCAACTAATTTTCAGGGTATAATAATTTGTTTGTCTTATTTGATTCTGCTACATGGATTATGTCAGAAGAAGAAGACACAAAGAAAAGTGGAAAGAAGAAACGATCAAATGTATTTTCTGCTTGAAGTTAACGTGGTCATTAATGCGTGTAAATGACAATCAGGGTGTCTACAATGTCCCAGGACAGGATTCTGGTGATGTTGTCATTTGCAGAGGTTCATAAAAATAGAGAACAGAAAAAAAAAAGAAAGGAAGTCCAGTCGCTTTCTTTGCAAGCTTCATTGGCTTTCTCAGATCTTTTACCATCAAAGTCTGTACCAGTTTTTTCCATAATAGCTGGTAGACGAGGTTTGCTGTGCTCTTTGTTATCGTTTTTCCTACCAGGTGAAACGTGACAGTCTCGGGCTTTTAAGTATTACAGACGAAATCTGTTATTTAACACACAGTTCACAAAAGTTAAAACAAAAGCCAAAAAATAAATAAATAAAAATAACCAACAACAAACAAGGTTGGCCAGATTCAGCTTCATCTTTTTGCTGACAGTACGTAGCAGTGAAACTTGTTTCCCCACCCTTCCTAAAATATAAAACCTAATATAATCACAGGCTGTCTCACTGGCTCTATAATACCAACTATGTGCACATATCTGAAGGTTTTACAGCAGAGGAACTGATGTATACGTGAAAGGATAGAAACAGCACTAACAGGATAGTCATAGTAATACTAAACACAAACTACTAACACTCGGTAGCTGCTCCTGTTATGCTAGCTTCGGTTTGTGTTATTACTGGTATCCAAAGCTTTGTTTATAAATGGGAAAATCTTCAAATTCTCTTCAAACCTAAATACTTTTTATTTTGAGTATGGACACAACTGTGGGAAACAGTAATGTGTATATCTTTCACTTGGTTACCCAAGTTTCCGCCATCAGCCCCAGCTGGTAATGGCAGATAGCTGCCGGAGGTCTGTCCCTGCTAACAGGGAGCTTTTCACTTCCCACTGTCACCAAGTGCTCACTCAGAGGAAGTCGTTTGATTGCTATGGTTTTTGCTGCTTCTATACATTATAAAGTGCCTTGAGGCACCTGTGGTTCTGAATTTGTGTTATATAAATAAAATTGCATAGAATATAAGTAAACTGGGGCAGCATACTGGTGGAGTGGTTAGCACTGTTGGTAAGGAGTTTGACTCCACCTTCGGGCTTCAGTTTGCATGTTCTGTTTGCGTGGTTACTCTCGCGGTACTCAGGCTTCGCATTTCTTGGGGTTAGGTCAACTCATTATTGTCCAGCCTGCCTCGTGCCCTGTTGGTAGCTGTGATAGGCTCCAGGCCCTCTGGGATCCTGATAAGTGGAAGAGAACAGATACATGAACTGCCTTCACTTACACTGGCCATTGCTACCATCTCCCAGCTGTGCACAGGTGTGGTCATTCTCTTGCAGAGCCTTCTTGAAATAGAAAATGCCGAGATTGTGTTTCCCCATTGCAAAATGAATGCAGCCCAGGTTGTTCCAGAACATACATCGAACACATTCACCTAAATGAAAACAACACGCATGCAATTAGCAAATCATGAAAGCCAGTTACCCCAGTAATGACGTCAACATCTGGAAATGCAATTAGGCAACAAAACCTGAGGACGACAAAGTAAACAGCAGGATTATAACAGAAAGCCAAATGATCCTGCGAGCAGCCGTTACCTGTCTTGATGGGCCCAGCATGTTCTGCAATATTGGAGCTGTTCAGCAACTTCACTGCTTTCCGGTAGTTTCCTCTCAAATACTCAAAATTACTCTTGAGGAACAGTGAGGGTGCAGACTGATGACAGAGAACAAGAGAGCGTGGAAGCAAAGTCAATTTCCAATGAACTGCAGCGCCCAAAGAAATATTTGAGACAAATTTTAAATTGCATCATATGCCAATCGCATAAGGCATACTGCATCCTCTCCCCTTTACATTAGAACTAACAAGCAGACTTACATTCCCTGCTGTGTTCATCACTGACTTGATCTCCCTTTTACAGGCCTTGGAGGACTTCATCTGAATGTACGCTCTCACTTTGTACTGCAGAAAGGACAACATCAGTTAGAACAGGGGTCGGCAACCCTGGGCACGCGTGCCACAGCTCCCACAGAGGCCAGCAGGTGGATGAGGGAAGGGGAGGCAGGAGGAGAGCCCCGAGGCGGCCGCCGGTCCGAGTGTCAGGTGAACTGAACTTCAGGTAAGAAGTTATGACCTGCAGTCTCTCTGGGTCAGATATGAACCAAGTTTAGGTGGAGTTTATTTTTGTTCTGCTGACTTTTTACAATCAGTTGCAATAACTCGTACTGCTACTAGCAAGCATGACGGAGTTTAAATACAGCTGGGTGGGTGCTATGATGTTACTGATAGTGAACTTGATTTTATTCATAAGGTTAGTTAGTAGAGTTGCCAACGGCTCCTTGAAAAATGGAATGGTCCCTCAATCAGAGAAAATATTACACGTTTCGTATTGAGGGGAAAAGGAACACAAAGCTGGATTTATTCTGTGTCTTTGCTGCACAGCTGCCTCTTCTCCTCTCACCCTCTCTCTCCTGTCGCTACTTCAATCATGAAACTGATCAATGATCAGCTGATCGTCTCTCTTGTTTATTTATCGCCCACTTTGTGCCAGAAAGAGGAAACCAGCGGATGTCGCGCTAAACAACAGCAGCACGTTTAAGCTTGATAAGCTGTTGTCAGAATTTATTTAATATTAATTTCTAGTATCAGCTGATGTTTGCTGGAGCCAGAACAGGTTTACCCTTCAGGTGACATGAATGAGTTGAAGTTATGAACTGTTTCTGAGAGACAAATAACACCAGCATCCTTTTCTAAGCAGCTGACAGCTGGTAACTGTGCAGGGGCGGGTCTAGCAAAGTGTTGCCAGGGGGGCAGGTAGGGCATTAACAGGGAGAGGGGGGCACAAAGACATACTTTCTTATTCTCATTTAAAATGTTTTGCTTTTAATAAATAATTATCTGAATCTTACACCCAAAGTTTTTATCTGATGTAAAATGTATAGAAATCACACATATACCAACAAGACTGTGCATCACTGTCACCACAGCGTTTGTTTTCATTCAAAGGCTTTATGGCTTTTATACCTGGGGGGCCGGTCTCTAGTCAAAATGTCCAGGCTGATGTTTTGTCCCAGTCCAGCCCTGGGCACGACACGCAGTGAGTTAATCTGAGAGGTGCATTAAAAAATAAATGGCTGGGCCAGCGGTGCACATCGCAAATTGCAACACAACTAATGTGTCCCATAGACACATTCTTAATGACGGTATCTTAGCTAACGACCCCAACTACCAGATTCAACTTGTAATTGGCTAAAAATCACTTAGCCTAGCGGTGACAGGGACGTTGTTAGCTGGTAGTTTTTTCAAGCGATGTTGAAATTTCCACGTTCCGACACTTCAAAATCTTCAGCAGCTCAGCGCAGCATCAGCACCGCGGAGATACACGGATACATCCGTAGACTCGAGACAGAATTCACGATGTGTTTTCAGGACTTTCAGCTGTTTGGACCAATGTTTTCTTTTCTGATCAAACCAGAAGCTTTAATGAGCAGCTGGATTCGTCTCGCATTAACTGGCTCGACACATCGAAATGCAGCTGATTGAACTGAACAGCTCGACTCTGTGGGGTCAAAGTTTGCAGAACTACGAAGCAGCTGGACTCCACAGCTGTGCGTGTTCATGGAGCTGCATGTTCACCTGCTGGACGTCACTACCTGACAGGTTTAACTGTCTTCAGAACATTGCAGAGGCCTTATTGACAGTGTTTGGCTCTACATGTCTGTGTGAGCAGGTTTTCTCTCACATGAGTCCTCAGGTCTGAATGCTGGACACTGGGAGACCTGTGTCTCTGACTGGGAGACCAGAGATCACATTAACATGTGTGTCTCTGTATTAACAAACATGTCATATTGGCCCAGTTTATTTTTCTTATCATTGTTGTGAGGAGGCCATAAATAGCATTTGTATTTTCTGTTGTACAGTTCATTTGCTGTTATGGATTAAAAGTGTTTTGTTTCTAAATAGCTGATAACTATTCGCTGACAGCTGCAAACATCTGTGAACAAATATAATCCTATAACATTGTTCTATATAGTGAGTAACTGTTCATATAGAGTGTTATTACATTTATTGCTAATGCAGTCATACGGCACACTGACCTCTGAGGAAATGGTAGATGCACTCATCATCAGAAAGGTTGCCGACCCTGCTCTAAAAGCATGCATTACAAATATTACAGCCCCTGAGTTAGAGCATGCAGACGAAGGCTGAAGCAGTTAAAGAGTGAAACATGGGTGAACCCAGCTCTCACCTGGTGAATTTTTGATTTGGCTGCTTCAATCATAGCTGCTAACTCGGCCTTCTGGTTTCCTCCATCTTTCTGAAATAAAGCACAGAACTTAGTCAGCTTCATTTCACAGACTTAAACTTGTGAAGTCGGTGACCTAAGAAACAGCTTCATGACTAAGGTCCTTGCAGTTTAATCATTTAAAGCTCAGCTATTCATCGACTCTTTGATGTTAGTTCTGTTTGTGGTTGAAAGATTCATTTGCTTTGATAGAAACATTTTCTGTAAGAGAGTACACTGTTCTTCTTCAAACACTGTGACCACTGCAAACTGAATTCAGCTCACTGTAGTAAGAAATCTCACAACTGTGACTCTTCAAAGTTACCTTTTAAGCTGCAGCTGCAAAGCTTTCAGCGCTGATATGTTTTTAGATGCCTTAAATAAATATGGAAGGTGGTGAGCGATAACTGTAGCTCAAAAAGTGACTTTTTTCACTGCATTGTGCGTCCAACAGTTCAGACCCTTTCACATGAAAAACTGCTGATGGACAGTCTGAGCTGTGAGACACATTCTTGATGCATAACACCATGGATGCTGGAAAAAGATTTGTGGGCACAGCCAGAGATTTCATTTCAGATTTCAGGAGTGAAATCTCTGGCTACAACAGACGCTGATATGAAAGTCTGTGAGTTTGCACAGAACAGATTATCAGGGAGTATTCTATAAGCAGCAGCAGGTGTCTGCAGTGCTGCTCGAGGAGACGATCTTGAATGTGCACACTAATGGGTTTGCTTTTGTTGTGCACATTCCTGTTTTTATCACACATACTGTATTTGTGTCTACCTCTCCTTTGCCGTTCTTGTTGCTTCCTTGCACAGAGAGTTTGTCCAGCACAGTCAGCAGGTGGAGGGCCTTCTCTGGCTGGAAGGTGAGCAGGTAGAGATCCACCAACAGGAAGCACACAGACTGTGCAAACTTTTCTTCTAGGGGAAATAACATAAGACATCAACAACAACTACTACAAGTACAAAAACAACAACCATTATTATTATTAGCAGTACAAAACTGTGCAAAAGTCCTGAGCCAAACTCCTTCGTACTTTGGTCCCGAGGGGCCAGACTTTGTTTTTAACGTGGTCTTGAGTTGGGTCTCCAGGCTTTTCAAGGTCTTTGAACATCATCTAAAACAGCAACTAGTCATCTGCAGAAGAGCGGTTTGATTGTTTCAATCAGGTTTCACACGTCACCAAAGTACAGAACAAGTACTGGGAAGGTTACCAGTAGCATTTATACGGCCTCTGACACTGGACTCATCTCTTGTCCTGCTATCAGTGCAGCGTTACAGTTGTCCTTAATATTAGAGATCAGTAGGTATGAAATATTTACTGCTGATTCAGCTGCCTGATGCACTCCAATTTTTCCATGTAAACCCACAGGGTTCCATGATAGGACCAGTTATTAACATTACACATGCTTCCATGTATAACATTTAAAGACATAGTATACATTTTCACTGCTTTATTATTATTATTATTCCATGAAGCCAGATAAGATCACACACACACACACACACCTCAAATTTCCTGCTTTTAAATTTAGATAAAAACTGAGGTTATCGTGTGTCATCTGGCTTCACTGATGATGGAGCGGGGAATCATCTGCATAGCAGTGGTGCTGCCTGAGGGCAGGATGTATAATGTAAACAGACCTGGCCCTTAGACTGAAACCTGTGGAACTCCATAATTAACCTGTGTGTTAAGAGGACTCTGCAGCACTGCAGTGTTGGGCGATCGTGGCAGTTCGCCTTGTAGTCGGAAGGTTGCCGGTTCGAGCCCCGGCTCTGACAGTCTCGGTCGTTGTGTCCTTGGGCAAGACGCTTCACCCGTTGCCTACTGGTGGTGGTCAGAGGGCCCGGTGGCGCCAGTGTCCGGCAGCCTCGCCTCTGTCAGTGCGCCCCAGGGTGGCTGTGGCTACAATGTAGCTGCCATCACCAGTGTGTGAATGGGTGGATGACTGGATATGTAAAGTGCTTTGGGGTCCTTAGGGACGAGTAAAGCGCTATATAAATACAGGCCATTTACCATTTACTTTTAATTCCAATAGTATGCTCTAATCACGGTAATAAAATAAGAAAATCAGGTCAACAGTACGAAACACTGCACTGAGGTCTGGCTGGGCAAACAGAGATGAGTCCACTGTCAATCATTTACTTTCTTTTTTAAGATAACAATAAATAACAACAGTCGGCTGTCTGTTAAACGTTGTCTAAGGAGCTTGGAAAGAAAAGTGTCTGCACTGAAAAGGTTTCACCTCTCATCTGAGAAGCTTCTTCAGTTCTGGGACTACAATGAGCTGGATGACTGAGAACCTTCACAGACACATCTGTTAAAAGTTGTTTAGATTTGATCATTTTAACCTTCACTAACACAGTTTCTGTACTTTGTTGAATTCTGAAGCCTGACTAAAACTCTTCAGATAAAGCATTCTCTGAGCTAATGACTTCTCTGAGCAGTCTTGAAGTAATGGGATCTCACAGACATGTTGATGGTTTTGATTACTGAAGTTAACTCAGATCAATCAGAGAGTCTATATACATATCAGTACTACTAAACTACTAATCTCTATGAGACGTCTGCGAGTCATTTTTCTCTAATGATTTAAACTTTATTAGTGAAGAAAATCATTAATTCATTACTTCTTAAGGTCATCTTTACTCTGATGCTTAAAGCCTTATTGTTGATTCAACCACAGTCTCTATAGTGAAGCAGTTGTTTGACAGGATGAAACGGGGAAAGAGCCCAACTTGTTTCATTGTTGTGTGAGCAAAACTGTGACATCATTACTGCTGCTGCTGATACAACTACAGGTAAGGTCTCACAAACCCTACCCTGTACTGCCTGATTGTTTTTGTCATTTCATATATTCAAAGTATCGTCACCATCAGTGTAATACACAATACAGACAATAATAAAAGTCATTCTAAAAACCGTTGCATGCTGCACTTGAACTTAACACTTTAAACATACATAAGAGGGGACTGGCTCTCCATTCACAGTCAGTAAGATATTTCAGAAAGAGCGCACAACTGAGCCGGCCTTACAAAGAAGAAAAACGGCAGCTGACAACATCACATCCTGGAGCCGATGCTTTGCAACAACCCTGCCAATTAAATGCATGGAAGTTAGCACGACATACCAAACGGTTCCAGAAACTGGTAGAGCTTTTCTCCGATGCAGATCGCATCAGAGAACTGTCGCATGTAATAGTGGATGATAGCTTGATTGTAGTACAGGAAACTATTTTCAACATCATCCAAACCATCAACATCTTCTGCTGACGTGTGAACCTGAAACACAGAAAGTAAGCCAGGCTCTGAGTTTACTGCAAACAAGGATTAAACCTATGAAAAGAACTCGGTTTAATTACCTGGTTCTTCATTGACATCAGGGTCTGCTTCAGCAGCCCTGTGGTCGTCTGACCGCTTTTGTAAAACTCAACAACAGCTTTATTCATTGCAATCTTGTAGTCCTCTTTAGTGAGCTCCTGCAGGGCTTCAAGGTGTCTGAGCGCCTCGTCACATCTCCCAGCCTAGAAGAAAAAACAACGTTTCACAATGTTTGGATTTCTTCTCACAAATACGACAAATAACAAGAAAAAGAGCAGCTGGTCAAACCTGAGTATACAGCGTGAACTGATGAGCAGGAGTTTACGAATACTTTCATTTTATTCAGGATTTCCACGGCCCTCTAAAAACTTGGCTGAGACTGGAATTGCCTCATAAATGTGGACGGTGTCACATTTTAGGGGCTGAGACCATTTCAGGTAGAGATACTGTTGTGCAGCGAGCAGTTTGCTCATTTTACTCTGGTTAGTGCGACTCACTCATCATAGATGATGCACTCAAAAAGACTATCTAAAATACCTAGAAGACCCCTCATGCTGTGCAACAGTTAACATAATATACTCTGACACTGCCTCCACTCTATCCAGTTAACCTCTTGAGCCCAGCACCCTCGGTACTGGGGGGCAAAACGGGGCAGATCCTGTTGAATCGGCTGTAACATAAGTCCCAGCGTGTGTCCACAGAAACCTCTAGATCTCAGCTAAACGCTCATATAGACCATTTCTACAAACACAGCAAAACAACATAAAAGTGACAGTTGCTTTGCTCCAAGTACTGAATGTGTTCATATTCACATCTCTCTCACTTCTCTAAAGAAGAAATTAGAACCACTTGCAGTATTTTTTTATATACACATTCATTGTCAGAAGACACTGTAGGTTAAGTTGAAATGTTTGATTATTTACCGTAAATGCTTCGTATGCGCTGGCTGCCATCTCCTTCTCCTGGTCTGTCATCCCCGGGGACGGTGAGCCGTCATGCTTTGCCTCATTTTGCTCTGATTTAAAAATAAATAATAATATTAAGTATAAGCTGAAACACCAATTTGTGAATACCCATAAATAGTATATATTTTATTTGTTGGTTACATGATAAACATTTGTGAGAATTTTTTTAGAAACGTTTTTGCAGCAAAAGTCAAAATTAAGCAAAATGGACTCACACAGATGATGTGAAGAAAATATTTGCTGAACTTCCATTAAGGGGGTGTACCTAATAAAGTGCCACTGAGTGTAATATGCATAACAATGTACAAACAAGCCAGCTTACATAAATAGTGCCTCTTTGATTGTATGATTTATCCATATAAAACCAACCTGTTCAGAGCATTCACCAAACAAGGCCAGGGTTAGGGTTATCACCTGCTCCTCCTGTCACAGGTCAGCCCTTGCACCTCGCCCCCCACCTGTTTGACCCGCTGCCCTTGGCTTAAAAACAGCTTCGTCCCTGGAGCCTTTCGGACCGGTGTTGTGCCAAATAGTGATCGCCTCAGTGAACGGGGTTTACAAAGGGCTTATATATAAAATTTAAATATTACCTGTTTTTCAAGTATCTTTAAACTCTGTGTGTTGTACTTGCATTATAACCTATCCAGTCCTTTTCCTCCACTTAAAATATGTTTACAGAACTGTTGTAATATTTGTTGCAATTCCCGCTTGGCCAGATTAGTCTTACTAAAGACAGTTTCAATCTTAACGAGATTTTTTTTAAATATAAAAAGTCACTGCTAAAAACTGATTGTGGCTTGTACTTTGTTACAGGAATGTTGTTTCTAACTGACTTGATATCATTCGTGAGGGAAACATCTGACATGTTTCACATATTACAGACCAACAAGTTATTTATAACAGTTTAAATACGAACAATCAGTTTTTTGCAGACATAATCTTTTGGCACAACACTGGTATCGGACACGATCCCACCCACGGTCTGAGTAACGCTCATCACTCACACACTCAGACCAAGTCCTTTACAACCTGTTCTCCAATGTGCGCCGTTCTCTTGTTTTGTATATATTCCTGCTGTCTTACTATTTCTATTTTATACCTACACAGTTGGCGTGGACAACGTCGTACGTGTACATCGATAATAAAGGGCTACTCGTTCTAATCTGGTGCTGCATTAGCTGCTAGCTGTTAGCGGCTGACTGTTTTTGAAAGGGCTCGAGGACTTACGGTTTAATTACCGAGGTTTTACTATTGGCTGGATTAAATGTACCATAAAGCTCACGTTGTAAACGAGCGAGGACTAAAATTCCGTTGATTCGTCTTAGTTTAGCCCAAACGAAGGCAGAGAGGGAAAAGCGCCTGCTGCAGCACACAAACCGTCTAAGTTAACCGAGAGAAGTCATTGGGATCCCGAGGATCCAGAACACACCAATAAATAAAGACTGAAAGACCAAGACATGAGTAAATCCCAGTGAAATACATGGGCGGCTTTTCATGAGAGACAAATGGGTCTGCTTAATGGGTTAAAGCTAGCTCTTGTCAACCACAGCAAGCTACTTGGGTAATCTTCACACTCACCTGTATTTTCTGCCATTTCTGAGGGCTTCTTAAGAGAAAATTAAAAGTAGACCAGACCGGGTTACTGCGATAAACTAAAACAACACCAGTATAACGAATAAATGTGGAAACTTTTCAAACACAGAGGTTAGCCTAGCAGAAATCTATCCAATTATCACGGCACTGTTTCTTCTTTGCTGTTTGGCGATAGCTTCAAACGTCGCATGATAAGGCAGTACCGCCCCCTGTCGATATGCGCGTGTCAGGAAAATCTTCTTCTTCCTTCCTTTGTTGGCGGTTGGCAAACAGCAAAATGGTGAAATACCGCCACCCTCTGGTGTGGAGTGTGAACTGAAGCGTTAAAAAACACTCAAATCGTCCCAAACAAATGAGTCTGCCTTAAAAACCAAAATATAGCCTGATAAAGTTCACCATACACCAAGTCCAGTTTCATATGGTAAATGGCCTGTATTTATATAGCGCTTTACTAGTCCCTAAGGACCCCAAAGCGCTTTACATATCCAGTCATCCACACACTGGTGATGGCAGCTACATTGTAGCCACAGCCACCCTGGGGCTCACTGACAGAGGCGAGGCTGCCGGACACTGGCGCCACCGGGCCCTCTGACCACCACCAGTAGGCAACGGGTGAAGTGTCTTGCCCAAGGACACAACGACCGAGACTGTCCAAGCCGGGGCTTGAACCGGCAACCTTCCGATTACAAGGCGAACTCCCAACTCTTGAGCCACGATCGCCCCAAGTTATTGATCAATTGTTTTCTTTCAGCATAAACAAGATGCTATTCAAACCAGTGAGTCGAGATAGAACCGTCTCCTCCCTCCTGTTTCTTCCTGTGCTTCTCATTTCTCCTGTTTTCCTTTGGATTTTGTAAAACCATCACCCCTTCCTCTCTTCCTCCCATTGCTGTCAGGAAAATTGAGGTTCCTGAACTTCAAAGATTCACTCACCGGGCCTAGTTTGTTAGTCAGGTGGCCGCAGGGCTCTCTCTCTCTCAAGTTTGGATTAAAATAGCAAATTCAAAAAGAACATATATTAAGTAAATTAATCAATAAATCAGATTTTTGGAAATGTGATACATTCCCTTTGTACTTTCCTCAATAAAAAGTATAATTCAACTTGTTCTTTATTACTTTCTGCAAAGGTGGAAATGGAATTGCTGTTTAGTAGATTCTCATATGCTGACTGGGATTTCCTTTTAACCAAAAGTAACGTTTGACATTTATGTCCTGTTACAACAGTGCCGGATCTTACAGAGCCTGCTTTGTTTTCACTTTATTTGGTGAAATCTGCTCCAGTGTTTTCTAATTTCTGCTACATAACTTTGCACTTTTGCTGTAACAAAACAAATTTCCCACCTGTGAAACTAATAAAGGTCATCTTATCTTATCTTATCTTTATGCAGGTGTAAACAAGGGGCCCTATAATGCAGGAAGAGCAGTCACTGTCATCTCGTGTGCTATTTTTCAAAGAGGAAGTGGTAGAGGACTCAGCGGTGCAGCTAACGTTGAAGCTGGAAGTGAAACAGACGTTGTTTCTCAGCGGTCGCTTATTTACGCAGCAGTTGAAGATGGACAAGTTTAAGACTGTTCTGAACATTGCAGGCAAACAGACCAACCTTGGTTTTGGCCTGATAGCTCTGTTGACAGCGGGAGGAGAGCAGATATTCTCTGCAGTGGTATTTAAGTGTCCCTGCAACGAGCTGAACTTTGTCTATGGGATAGTGTTCCTGCTGGTGCCAGCTCTGGCTCTGCTGCTGCTGGGTTACATCCTCAGTAAGAAAACGTGGAAGCTGCTGACGGGTCTGTGCCGGCGTACGGACAAGCTTTTGTGCTGCAAGAAGCTGGTTGCCGCTGGTGTGGTCCTCTGTCAGATCGGCACCTTTGCGCTTGTTGCGCCTTCTACTTGGATAGCTGTAGCTTTACTCAATGGAAACTACTACGAGTGCGCCATGACAGGTACCAATGTGAGCATTTACAACAAACACGTGTGCAGAGATAGGAACTCTGAGATCCAGTGTGAGAAGGAGCTTCACCGGTTCCCGTGTGGGAAAAGCATTAGTGTACCTCAGGCTGCGAGAGAAGATGTTCTGCTTAATCTCCGAGCTGAGTCTCAGGTACGTAAAATGCTCTGCTGCTTTCACACTCATGTGAAAGAGTTCTTTAGATCTGTTTGGGTTTTTTTATCTACAAACTATCAGCAAACTGAAAGTTATTTGCTCAATAGAACAGCTAGAGATGCCTACGGTGTAAATGCTTTGATTTTCATTGGCATTGTTTATCATATTTTTAATGTTATTATTTGTGTTACTTAATTCTGCAGTGGTTCCCAGTTGTGTTCAGGAGTTAGTTCATGTTCTCTCAGAGCTTTACGCTCCTGTTTATACAATCTGCTATGATCTGCTTTACCATCAAACGTCATTTGACCCAGTGTTTTGTAGGTTTTGGGTTTTTTCTAGTCATTATTTTGAAATTCGATTTGTGGTTTGGTTGGTGTTTTGTGTGTGTGTGTGTGTGTGTGTGTGCGTGTGTGTGTGTGTGTGTGTTAGGGTTAGGGTAAGCGACTAGGGAAAGCATTGTGTCAATTAGGCGTCCCCACAAGGATATAAATACACACGTGTGTGTTTGTTTAGATTTCACTTCTCGTTTTCTCAGCATCATAAACAGCTCATTTTTTGTTGGACGCACCCTGGCATGTCTACATTTGGGCAACATTTTTCTTGTAAAACAAGGGGGCCCAGCAAAAAAGTTTGGGAACCACTGTGCTAAATGAAGCTCTTAACACTGGCCACACAGAGGCTAACAGTAGAACACAGACAGATTTCGACACATAGTCAGTGTTTCTCTGTGTGAGCACTCTGAGACAGCAACATGTACCTGCACTATACTGAACACAAAACAACACAGCGCAGGGTTGAACTAGCTTTGTTAACTAGAAAAGTTTAATGACTAGATTTACTCATCACTCCTAATGTCACAGTTTGCAGAGTGTGAGGAGTGGACCCAGGTGCAGACATTATCAAACTCAACTGATGATGAGCCGTTTATTAAAGCAGACAGAACAGTACAAAATAAGGGCGAAAACAATGCAAGCTAAGCAATAACCTAAACAGGAGGCTAACGAGAGAAGTGGGACCACACGGCAGAACAGCTGACACACAAGAACATAACGACGTCACAGTGGAAGAGTAAAACTAAACACAACGAACACAGGAACACAAGACCTCTTCAAAATAAAACAGGAAACATAAGACACAGACATGAAACACATGAAGGGCAAGGGAGACTTAACAGGGGTGGAAGACACAAGGGAATCTAATAACAAACTATAACAACCTAGGCATGATAAAAATGAACTTAGAAAACCCGAAGGGCTTAAACATAACCCATAAACTAAAACTCAAAATGCTGGGTCAAAAGACCCAAGATCGTGACACCTACAGAACTAAATACACCCAGGTCAATATTTAAACACTTCCATGACTTACTCTTGATATTAAGGGTGCAGAAAAGCAGTTCTTCAACTGGTAGCTCTGAGGATTTGTTAGCTTAACAACCTTCTGCTCCCAAACTGTTCCCACTTGCTTTGATTTGAACTTTTCCCGGGTTGTGGAGCGTAGGGTGACCATATTTTGATTTCCAATGAAGAGGACACTTGGCCCAGTCATGAAGAACTTTTACAAGTCAAAAAGGGCAAAAAATAACTTAAAAACCTCTGGAATTAAATAATGGTACAGAAATAAGGCCTCATATAAGAAAACTTAGCAGTACCAGGACAGTACGAGGGAAATAACTTTTGCAGTCGTCTGAAAAGCTGCAGTTGCACTTTGGCATCTTTTTAAAATCACCAGGCTGCTGCGCACTGTCTGTCTGTGAGCGCAGAACAACTCACAAAGCTGCAGCTCGGGCGTGACGTCACACATGTGGGTCCTCTGTAGGAAACCCGGACATTTTCATCAATCTCGAACATCCTCCCAGACATCCCGGACAGAACGTGAAAAGAGGACATGTCCGGGGAAAAGAGGACGGTTGGTCACCCTAGTGGAGCATGTGCAGTAGTTAGCAAGGAAGGAGTTGCAGTTTTGAAGTAAATACTTCCGATGCTTGTGCTGTTGTCAGTCAGCAAGCTGTCGAGAAGAGTGAAGTACAAAGAGCCGAACGGAAACTGAATGAGTGCACTGCAGCCACTGTCTATGGTTTTCATGCTGTATTATTATTTATTTAATCTTTGAATTGTTTTCACTGTTCTCCCATTCTGGGTGAACTCTGCTGTCATCATGTGCTTCCAGCAACATGCAGCTAGGTGATGTAGGGCTGCACAAAAGTGCACCTGGGGTGGGTGAAAATCATCCGTGACCCCCAACCTTCCACCCAAATGGATAGATGGAGGATAACAGTTTGATGATGTTTTCATGGATAAGTCTGGATGGTAATTTGTCTGTATAACAAAGTTTGGATGATCATGGGATGGCTGTAGCCACTTCTTCCACTTAACAGATTGTTTTTGTTCCGATCCCTGGCTGCTCCAATCTGCGTGCCAAATATTCTCGGGCAAGATACTAAACCAAGCGGCTCTCTGATGCTTCCATTAAAGTAAGACAGTACAACAGTAGGTACGTAGGTTGTATATGTTGTGTTCAGCTAGAGGAGAAATGTGCTACAGTAGAACCAGTCAATTCACCATTTCAGCAGGTTGAGACTTTTATTACACGATTAGTCTGGAAGATCATGGTTAAGTTGATACATTCATGGGATAATTAGTCTGATCATCATTTTACTGGATCACATGGTTTGCATGATGAGTTTAGTGGATCATGTTGAGTTCATGAGTGTGTTTTTGTGCTTATCAGTGAATTAAAAGTGTAACAGTATAAACACAATACACATAGAAATGTGATACTGATATTTAATGACAAAATGTACCAGTGTTCTGTTTTCATTTGTAGCCGTTGACCTAAAGAACTTCAGAAACGTTGTTCCCTTGTTATTTTTTTTGACTTTCATTTCCTGGTGTGTGACTAAACGGTTAAACTGCTTTTATTACCTCTATTACCTGTTTACTATTTACTATAAATACTGTCCATAGATTCTCGGTTGGATGCTCATCACTCTCATCATGTTGACAAACCTGGTGCTCACCTGTGTGGCTCGGTGCTCCTCCCCTATTAGCTACCTGCAGCTGCAGTTCTGGAAGGCGTATGTGCATGAGGAGAGCAATCTACTTGATTCCTATACGGCTAAGCACGCCAAAGCGTTTGCTGAGAGAAACCTAAAGACCTTCTTTGAAAAGACACCACCTGAAAATGTCATCACACCATCCAACCGAGACTGGGAGAAGATCTCCTCTCTCTACAAGTTCACCTCCAAAGATACCTACTACAGCACTTTGCACCGATATGTGGAGAACTGCCAGGAGACTGACAACGGGACGATGAGGATGAGTTCAGTCAAGTCAAACGAGTCTGTAGAAGATAACCCAGCTGTTCTTAGTTTTGTAGATGATGGGAGAATGCCACTGTGAGTCACAGACTACCCACATTAAACTGTAAAAGGTGTGAAGTAGAGAAGCTCTAGAAATGCTCTTAACTTCGTAATTTTGAAGAATAAATGAAATATGCATGAAATAATCATTTGTATGCTTAATATTGTAGTTGCATAAAGTGGGACAGTGAAGGATAGTGTGCAGCAACTTTTTATTATTTTGTATTTCCTTTGTCATGTCAGTCTTTAGTTTTTAATTCCATGTTCTGTTTGCAGACTCAGGAGAATCTGTCTGATCCTCCCGAGTCTTTCATCCTGTGTGAAGTTTGTGTGTCTGCATTTACCCCACTGCGTTCCCACAGTACCTCCTATATTCTGTTAATAACCTCTTTGCTTTGACCGTCCTGCAGAAGTTTAAAGAAGAGAAAAAGCAGATGAACTCTACTCTAACACTTTGTATCACTGTAAACATAAAAGGACGGCTGCAAGAAATTTATGTCCTAACTTAGGTAGTAACCAGAAACGTGTTTTTTCCCTAGGCTGCAATCTTCCATGCCGTTCGAGTTGTTGTGGTATGCATCGAGCAGATGTGTAGTTAAATTTCTCAGGAAGTGTACATCAGGTTATGTAGAAGGTTGCAACGCAGAGCTAAATGGGGTTCTGGTGCATAGTTACCCATATGGAAAAGAAATAGAAAAAACTTATAAAAGACTTGCATCAGATGTGGCCTACTTCAAATAGTGAATCATAGAAGGCTTATGTGATCTACTCATGAAAGTGGCCACTTTCATTTATTGTTTTAGTATCCAAAACATACAAGTTTCATTTATATAATTTTTCAAGTTTTCACTCTTGTATGCTTTTCATACAAGATTCACACACGACACATACAAACTTTAGAAGATTTATAGATCTTTTCCATGTGGGTATTCAAGTACAACATGCAGTGAAATGTGACGTTATGATGTAGATCTGATGCAGGAGTTGAATCAATGTGTTACGCTTGTCTCTCCTTAACAACGTGACATCAGATCTCCGTCACATTAAAACTACAACTGCACTGTGGCCATGAAACATTCATCTTTCATGGCCACAGTGTGTTCTGGCACCGTTGTTTTATAGAAGTCGTATGAACGAGAACAGGCAAAGGTTTCCTTTGCACTGATTATTTTGTTGAGAAATGTGGGATTAAAAGTTTACCTCTGATTACAACGGCGAGAGTAAAAGGTCTTAACATCCAGCCTCTTAAGGTTACAGTGACACAACGTGTTTGAACACAGTTTCTCTATATGTGCTTTTACTAATAGTAAATCAGCTTTATTCTTAATCAAAGATATAATCAAAGTAAGTCTAATTAATATGATGGATGAGAAATGCAGTTTGAGTAATTAATATCTGACCTTTTCCTGTGATGGGTTTGTGTTGTATGTGCTTCTGTGGTGGGGTTCGTTGTACCAGTGAGAATCTGAGGGCTGTAGTGCTTGGTCAGAACAATAAACAAATATTCAGAGACAGTATTTTAATATATGATTTAATAAAAGAAATTAAGCTGAGTATATTATGACTGAAAAAAGAAGTTTTGAAGACAAAAAGTGAGTGAAAATGTAACTGAAGTAAAACAGTATTAACTGAGTGAAACATGAAGAATTCATTTGTGACTGAATGTTCATATGTGATGGAATTAACAATAAAAGATGTTAAGTACAACACAGAAGAGAAGGAAATGTAACAAAATGATTTTAAAGCTTGAACTTTGTTGTAAATCCCACATGTGAAACAGTCAGAGAACCGAGGATGGTTGATGGACATCAGCTGAGTCACTGAGAATTTTCCTCTGTGAAGAAAACTCATTGAACTTTGTATTTTGTAAATATTGGAGTCCTGGACACACAACTCACACGTCCTTGTGTTGTCACTGTTTGTCTCACCGTAAACTGTCTCGGTACCATCCCAAGTCCTGCAAATGCACGTGAACCAGCTAACTGAAACTGTGATTTATTTCCTGTTGCTGTCAAAGCACAAAGGGTAGTGGCTTAATTTGCAGAAGTTCATGTTTTTACAGGCACTGAAGGACCAAGTGTTTGTTAGTTTGCTACTGAGTGACTGAGCACTCAGGCTCAACGTGTTTATGAAGTCACACAGCATTGATTAGCGGCTGCTAGTCATCAGAAGGATCGTGACCCGTGGGTTTCATAATGCACCTTTGTAGACTGACCTCTGATCCAGTATATATGGAGCTCAGTTATTTATTAGGCACTGAGAGTGTCAGGATGAAGGGGCTGTCTATCCGGTTGTTCAGTGATGACATGACGAATCCTACTTCCGGGTCTAAAGTAGTCTGTGTTTAATATGGCTTTTGTGTTGTTAACATGTTTAATGTTATGTATTTTCTTCTATTTGATCTCAAAAAGCTCCTAAAACAGTCAGTGATCACTGTTGACCTCCCTTTATTACCGCTAATCATTTATTTAAGCTCAGTTTTTAAAACCTTAGGATGTAGCTACAGCCCAGCCCATGCAGCAGTATATGAATGACTAACCTCGTATTGTGGATGGATTATCTCAGTTGTTCTCCTGGCTGAAGTTTGGTCCTTTTACAGCATCCTGCCATGCGATTACATTTGTTCCTGACCACCGAGAACACTCACGTTAACTTTTATCGAGTGGAAAAAAGGTTAGCTTGTTTATATTATGCTAACATAGCTGTGTCGCTAGCGGTCACGTAGCACATCATTGTATACCAGCTAGCCAAACTTCAGTAACCCTACAAACGTCACTGCTGTTTAGTTTTCTGTCTTCATTTATGCTGGAAGTGATAACAGAGCTGTACGTTTTAATTTGTTTCCAAAACCCCGCAGTCAGGACATGCTATATTGTATTTAGATAGAAGCTAGCGAGCTAACTCCCTGCTAACTTCTAACTCCGTTAAATGTCATAAATTCCGTTTTCATGGATGCCTGGATGTTAAACTCAATTGTTACACCTGGTAAAGCAGAACGCTGATCATTTTATTAAAGATGAAAGACTTTAGACAGTTTTTCAACTCTCAGTAATGCCACAGTGATGTTTGATATATGGACCTGCAGCGGAGTTTAGGCCCAGACACGGCTAGTGACGTCAGACTGAACGACCGGATACCATGTACCAATTAGAAGATACTCCCTCTACTCGGATTCACACAGATCAGTTTACATTTATTGACACATTGTTTGAAAGAAGATGAATTCAGCAGCAACTGAAAGAGAAATCTTTTAGATGGATGTTCTGACACCCCCACTATACTCACAAACATCCTGTGCAACCTTCTCTGAATAAAGTTGAAAATAAGCATGAAACTGAATCGGAAAAGATAAGAATACAGATGAATACAAGTTCAATAGTTCAATTGGGAACATTTTAAAGTTTGAATAGTTCCTGCAGCTGAAAGTATGTGGAAGTACTCAGAGTTGGAGGTCGATTAGGTCGCATGTGGCTTTAAACATTCTTTCTATCCAAATACACAAAAGATTGCTTTAAAAAGTTTAATGTTTTAGGAAACTTATAAATAAGAAGCTGAATGATGGTTTTTCTGGAGTTTCCTATATTACCAGATATATTTGCTCGTCTTCTTTCTTTGCATATGAATCCATGGCTTTAATATGATGCCGTCCTACTCTCTGCAGCTATAACAGCTTCAACTCTTCTGGGAAGGCTTCCCACAAGGTGTAGGAGTGTGTCTATGGGAATTTTTCACCGTCTTCCTGAACTGCATTTGTGAGGTCAAATACTGATGTTGGATGAGACTGTGTGGCTCGCAGTCTCTATTCTGTCTCATCCCAAAGGTATTTCAAAGTGTTGAGGCCAGAACACTGTGCACACCAGTCAACGTCTTCCACACCAGGCTCACTCATTCATGTCTTTAACAGGCAACAGGAGGGGGATATTCCCAGACTTTCCCAATTTTGTGGGAACTTTGTGTGATATTGTCCAAAGTTTCTTGGTATGTTGAACCGTTAGGAGTTCCTTTCATTGCAACTAAGGGCCTGCACCCAAATCCTGAAAAAGACCCCACATCATACTTCACCCTGCACCAAACTTTACACTGGTGGCACAATGAAGTCAGACAAGTACTCCCAGCAGCTCCCAGACACGATTGGATTAGTCTGATTTGTCACTCTACAAAACTTCCACTGCTCTACAGTCAAGTGCTTTACACCGCTGCGTCCTGCGCATCGCATTATCGGTGATGTGATGCAGCTCGGCCATGGAAACTTCTTCCATCAAGCAATCATCAAGCCACATGAGGTTTGGAGGTCTGTAGGGACTGACTCTGCACACTATGGGTGTCACCATCCACTGAACCCCACTGTGTGATGATACGTGGCCTACCTTTGTGGCCCACATGCCTGTGTGCTTGATTTTATACATCTGTGTATAAAAGGGATTAGAACACCTGAATTCAATGATTTGGATGGGTGAGTAATATAATGTATGTAATGTATGCTTTTGCTCACACTGGGTGCTGCCTGCAATCTCAAAGTAGGTGGATCTGAACATTTTCTATTATTTCAGTAGCCCCCAAAAATGAATGAAAACCTAAATATTTTAAAACCTACAGTCAGGGAAATAATTATTATAAATAACTAGTAAAGAAAGGACTAGTCTATAACTTGAGTGGTAGGTTTATTTGAACAGTGAAAGACGGAACAATGAGCAAAAAAATCCAGAGTTATGAATTAATTTGCATTTTCATGAATTATACCTTTATAAACAAGCTTCACAGAGTAAAATAGAACCGAATGAGAGGGCACTTCATAGCTTGACTAAAACAGATCAGTGATGTAAATGAAACCTAATGAGAAACCTGCACTGGGCTAATGTTTGTATGCAGAATGCCTACAGGCTAGCAAGGGTCACACCACTCTGACACCACATTTCCTGTCTGCACAGACAGATCACACCTTGGTTTACTTGATGGGTTTCATGTTTAATTCACATCACTGACAAAGATGTAGACATACGAACATCAGTCCAGGGCAGGTTTTTCATCTGACACTTAGTTAACACTCATTTTCGAAACACAAATGTGAGCTGTAGGAACTGCTGATGTGTTTTACACATGAACAGATTTGTCAGAGTGCAGCATTAATGCACTGCAAGCTTCAGTCCTGTGGGACAGGAACAGACACACCACATAGATGTTTGCACTTCCCCAGCACGCTAAGCGCTGACTGTCTCTCTGCTACAGACGCCGCTGGTGTGCGCTCTAATAATCTGCTCTTGTGTTGCTGTTGTGTACTGTGTGTCTTCCCACTTTGCATGTTCTGTCATGTTTTTGCTCCTCAGATAGTTTCAGGTTACAGTCTGGATTGCATAATAGTTAAAAGACAACCAGAGTAACTGAACTAACAGGATTTTTCTCCATGACTGACTCACCTATGCTGGTGCTGGGGTGGGGGGAGGGGGGGAGTAAAGAGGGATGGTAAAAGAGAAGAAAGCAGAGTTGAACTTTTTCACCTTTCTTTTTAGTATCGACTCTTCTCTGGAGATGGAATAGATATGGTAATAAAAGGGGAAGTGGTTGGGAGGAAGTGCAGCCTCACTGAAGGAGGGGCCTGCAGAGAAGACAGAATGCCAAAGGGAGGGGCACATCCAGGCTTGGCAGATGAGTTTGGTCTGGCTGTGGAAAACAGCACAAAGGAAGTGACTCCACACTGACACTTGGCTCTTTCACTTTTAGCTCTCTGCTGTTCCACTCGGATTTATTAGCCGACATCATGGATAACTTCCAGAGTATCTTGCGTTTCCTCGTGAATCAGAAAACCACAATTGGCTACAGTTTCATGGCTCTGCTGACTATAGGCGGGGAACGAATTTTCTCCATGGTCTCCTTTCAGTGTCCCTGCAACCACGACCAGAACTTTGCTTATGGCGTGACATTTCTGCTGGGACCAGCTGCAGTGCTGCTGATCTTTGGTATTTTCTCCAGTACCCGCTTTTGGAAGCTCTACACTGGGTGCTGCCTCAATCCCATGAAGCTTTGCCCCCGTGGAAACTGTTTCAGCTGTCTTAGGGTGTTCCTGAGTATTTTCACCGGGGCCTGTGTGGCTCCTATAATGTGGCTCTGTGTGGCTCTGCTCAATGGAACCTTTTATGAGTGTGCTGTTAGTGGTCTTGATGATAGTCTGGTGGTCGATCTCTTCTGCAAAAACAAGACATTGAAGTGTCGTGAGGAGCTGGCCCGGGTGCCCTGCGCCCGCTCTAAACTGTCTAGCGAGGAGCGCATGGAGCTGCTGCTGATGTTCAGGGCTCAGTCTCAGGTAAGATTTCATAGTGATGTCGGGAGGGCGACTGGGATCCAACATTACAGACTTTCACACAAATTTGAAGTATGGGGTTCGATTGATCAGTATTTTGCTGTTTGTCTGTTATGGTTGTTGTGAGTGTAGTGGGGTTTCTAGTTTAAACAGCAGGCCATCACTGAAAAGGCACAAAGACTGATCATTTGTGTTAGACCATTATGTTAACAATGAAAAACTATCCTCTAACTCAGGGCTGGGCCACTCCAGGCCTCGAGGGCCGGTGTAGGTTTTAGACCTAACCCTGGGTTAGCACACCTGAATCACACGATGGGTTCATTAGCAGGCCTCTGAAGAACTTCAGGACATGTCGAGGAGGTCATTTAGCCATTTAAAGCAGCTGACACATCTAAAACCTGCAGGACACCAGCCCCCGAGGCCT